CCCCCCTGAGATAACCTGAGCTGCCATTCTGTTTTGCAAGACCCACTCCTCTGAGCTTTTAACTCTTATCTTTGGAGTAAGCCACTTGGTTGTAATCTCTTCTGTGCTTCAAGTACTCAGTAGAACACTGAGAATCAGTTGACGCTCCCCTACAGCCATACGTGACCTTTTTTTTTTTTGCCAGAAGCTGCCACAACCACAACTTGGGGAACTTAGCTTTACTGAGGCTTCTTTAATTCCCAGTTGCATAGCAAGTCCCTCCATCAGGCTCTGCTTGACTGGGAGGCCCAGTACTGCTGAGCTTAGGGATCTGTTCAGTAGCTAGGAAATGAGGACCTTCAGGTGGGCCAGCAAGATAGGGATTTGAACTGAGGATCTGTTTGGATTTGACAGAACCTGGTTTACTGCAAGTACTGTGTGTGAGGGTCTGTCTGTGGACCCCAGGTGTATGTTGTGGGTCAACTATGTTTATATTGTTTGTCATACGTGTTCTAGCAGCTGTTGTCTTCAAGACATTTTCAAAGCATGAAAATTTAAGTCCTCGCTCTTGGTCGCCAGCTGTTGGCCCCCACCCCCATAAGGATACCAGCAATTCCAGCTAACTGAAAATGACTGTTCCCAATTATCTAATCACATCCAAAGACCTACTTCAGTATAGGCAGTCCCCAGGTCACGAATGACTTAGGTACAACCCAATCAGGAACCAACCCCTTAAAGCCTATTCTGTTACAAATTTGAGGTTTGTGATAACCAGTGGGTGATACTTTGCTGTGCACATCAAAACATTCTTATCACTGCATTATGGTAAAGATGTTTTAGTGTATCTGGAAGTGTTTCTGTGATTTTTTTTATGCATAAAAAGGTACACTTTTTGTTTAAGATGAACACCTGACTGACTGCTGTTAGATGATAATTGTCCGATTTACATATAAGTTTGACTCAAAAACGGATTTAGGAAGGGAACTGGTTTGTAATCCAGGGACTGCCTGTGTGTTCTTTACAAACAAAAGACGGTCCACTCTCAGTGCTTTATAAACCAAGATCTTAACTGGCAAATCTTTTGTGATGCTCATTTACAATGTGTGATTTTGAAGGTTAGCTGGTTTTAACTTGAAGTGTGTCACTGATCTGTATGCTTACCTCTTAGAGTTGTTAATTACTTAATATCCTCTCAACTAGGAGTCCCCAGACAGTGTATCTGTGCCTAAGCAGTAGAATAGATGGATAACAGTGTCAAATTCAACAATTTTCCATTTTATTCAGTCTAATTTTGATGTTGAGTATTTCTGTTATATCTCTAATTTAGACAGTAAATCTCATCTGTAGTGATTTTCTTTTTAAGGCGACCCTTCCATTTCCTGCCAAGTCTGTGTAACAGTGTTTTACTGTGAATTTAATACTGAAATTGAAACATTTCCAGCATACTTTTTAATCTGATGAAAAGGAGAAAGGTAATATTAAGTAAAATGTCAAATTATTTTTGCTGTTATCTTGTATATTTTAAATAGGAAGTAGACCAGTTGCGTTTGGAGAGATTACAAATTGATGAGCAGTTGCGACAGATTGGAGCTAGTTCTAGACCACCACCAAATCGTACAGATAAGGAAAAAGGCTATGTGACTGATGATGGTCAAGGAATGGGTCGAGGTAGTAGACCTTACAGAAATAGGGGGCACGGCAGACGCGGTCCTGGATATACTTCAGGTACAAACTAAGCATTTTACTCAGTTCCTTTATCTGTTCCTAGACTTAATAGCTGCTAATCTCTATTACTCATTAGAACCCCATTGTAACAATTTTCTTACTCTGTGGTTTCCAGTTCACAGTGGGTCACAGCCCCTAGAGTCAAAGCTCGAGGATGACACATGTAGTTCTGAAGGCAGGTGTGAGTTATGGCCACTTTGGGGTGGGGACTCGAGAACTCTACTTAAGCCCTTGTGTGGTGATGACCTGCTTAAGGCCTGCCTGGTTTTACTACTGTACAGAGCACCCCTTTTCATTTGTGTCCTGTGGCTCTTTTTTTTTGGGGGGGGGGGTCAGGTGTGTGCTGGTCATGCTTGCTGCATGGACTCTGGCCCATAAGGGATTCTGAATGGCCAGTCAGCCCGTGACACAGCCAGGACCAGGCGAAGTTTCTCTTTGCCTTCCCAGCTTGTCTATCAGTGCTGCTTTCTTCTCTCCCACCCCTTTTCACTGAGCCTTCTCCCCACCTGCCAGTGCTCTGTCTTTCTTTTTTAATCAACTGTGTATCATCTCTGTAACTTGCTAATGATGGTATGAGGTATAATCCATCTCACAAATATTTGCATTTCAAAAAGGAACTCTTTAAGATGGAAAAAGCCTTCAAGATCCACAGGAATGAAGCTATAATGGTGAAGCTATAATTGCTCATTAGCTCCAACAGAGGAAGAGAGAGAGGTAGTAGAGTCGGAGAGAAGACACCTACTCCTGAGGCCAACTTTGCCCCCTCCCTTCGCCCTCCCCCTCAGACTGCTCTCTACTGCTGATCTCCTCCCTCACCAGGGAGCTCTGCCCACCTTTAGCCTTAGGTCGTCATCTACCCTCTCGGGCCTAAAGAGTTGATTAGTAGTAATGCCTTTCTTCGTGGTCATTTGGTCCCTGAAAGTGGGAGGGAAGGTTGTGGATCAAGCCACAGGCCAGCGTATTCCCCTCTTCCTCCGGCTGGGCCCTGCACCCACCAGAGACCCTTCCCTGGAGCAGTCCCCGTGGTGCCCTTAGTTGCCATTCTCCTAGACATGACTCAAAAGTGTGCCTTTCCTTCTGCCCAGGGGCCAAACCTGTTAGAAGGCACTCTGTCAAGGTTTTGTTGATCAAGGTGTGTTGCATTAAATGTTGACGGCAACTTTTCCTCCAGAGGGCACAACTGTTTAATGATGTGACACATGCAGGTTTGAACTTAGTTGGCTAATAAGATAGGCTTGGTTTTTAAAATGAGAACCCAAAATGCTTAAAACCAGATATTGCGAAACCTTCATTTTGAATTTAAAATGATTTATTTTACAAAATGAAAGGTGGTGATACCATTTGGTGGGTTTCTCAGTTTGGGAAAGTATTGGATTACCCCTGAAGTGGCTCTGGAAGCTTCTGTTAACCTAACGCTTTTTTATTTTGCTTTTTTTAAAGTCGGACATTGGTATATAACTTTTAACTCTCGATAGGAACTAATTCTGAAGCATCAAATGCTTCTGAAACAGAATCTGACCACAGAGACGAACTCAGTGATTGGTCATTAGCTCCAACAGAGGAAGAGAGGGAGAACTTCCTGCGCAGAGGAGACGGGCGCCGACGTGGAGGTGGAGGAAGAGGACAGGGAGGAAGAGGGAGAGGAGGAGGCTTCAAAGGTACAAAAGGCTGCTTTCCTTGGTTGGGAAATAAAGGTGAATGGTAACAGTCTGAAGTTAGCTTGTTAAGCATGATGATGTAACTGGAATAATTGGGCTAGGTTCACACTTTCAGTTCTTTAGCCTAATTCAATGGATGGTGTGCATTTCAGAATTAGTAACTGTCGAACCTTTTGAAAATGTTGCCACAGGAAGTGATGATCACTCCCGAACCGATAATCGTCCGCGCAACCCAAGAGAGGCCAAAGGAAGGACAGCGGATGGAGCTCTCCAGGTAACCCTGCCAGCCTCTTCTCATCGACATTGTCTGAGGCTAGGGCTTTATTTTTAACCACGGTGAGAGATCACCCAAGTGGTTTATCGGGAATGTTTTCCCCATAGTGGGTGATCTCAGCCCTCCTTTATACGTATACAAAATAAGAGGATTTTTCTAGAGAATATGTGGCCGCTGTTTTGGCGAAGACTTTGAACAGCCACGTTATGACTTTTAGTCAGTACTACATTGGTGGTCTTTCCAGTTCCCCCAAGGAAAGGAGTATCCTGGGGTGTACTGAAAGCTGAGCCCCCCCTTCCTGGGGGGGGGCAGAGGGGTGCTTCTCCCCTTGTTCACCCTCCCCGTGTGGAACTTGAGGAAAAGAAGGTGTGGTCCTCATGATTAGCTGTCAAGACAGAGTTGATGCTATTCAGCTGGGTCTGTCCCCAGGCTCCAGTTTCAATAGGTCTTCACCTGCACTGCCCCCCTTAATAAAGCCTTTGAAAGTTATCCCTGAGCGCTCCCAGGGACTTTAAGCGTTTTGTGTGCTTCATCTCCTTTAACCTGACCACAGGCCACTGAGGTAAGTAGCTTTATTTTTATAATAGGTGAGTAAACTGGAGCTTAGCAGGGCTCTTTCTTTGCCCAGGTCACATGGCTGGCACTTGGTGGAATAGTGTTTGTTTCCCAGAATCCTTCATTGTTAACCCACATACTTAGACTCTCTTCCTGACTGTGGTACTGGTTGGTTTGAAATCAAACCTAAGATTAGTACGAGAGCCTTTTTTTGAAGAGCAGAAACTTTTTAGTGGGATATTTATTAGACTTAATAGCAATTCTACTAGTTGTTAATTATTGACAGGTTCTTAAGGACCAGCATAGAAAAGACCTTGGACCTAGACAGAAAGATTGGTGAATTAGTGCCCATATATATGCTTTGTAAAGGGTTTTCTGTATCAGTTTTTGAGTGTAATTCCCTGTTTTCACTGACATGTTTAATGAACTATACAATCTGATCCCATTAGTTAAAAGGATTTACATTCACAATTAATTTATATGATCAAAACATGATAGCCGAATACAGAACCTGGTGTTTTCTATGTAAGTATGAGAATAGATACAAGAGAAAACATTGAACCCTGGACAGCTCAACATTTAAAACCCGCACCCAGACCCTAAAGTAAATACCATGGATACTTGAAATTAGAATGAAACATTTGGGGGGTATCTTTAGCATTTCTACTTGAAGTAGATCAATACTGTGGTGGTTTCAGGCCCCACTGGTCAAGGCGTAGCATCTGGAATTCTGTTAGCAGCATTTAAGTGTTTGGTGTAAGCACATAAACTATTCGGTAGTTCTTCCAATGTTACTGTTTAAATTACATCTTTCCAGGCTCCCAGGATTCCAGCCCTTACCCCAGTTATTTTCTTCAAGTGTCCCCTACATCATTCAGATTCTTAAAGCAAAATTCATGTTAACTGATGGTCTGAATTGCTTTACAGAAACACATGCTATCAGTCCCCGCTCATTGTTCTAGGATAAAACGGTGAGAGCCCTTGGTATGGAGAATCTCAGCCATACCTGTGTGAGCTTGAAAGGTGCAGTAAACTAAGAATTGGTTTGCAAGTCGAGTTCTCATCCTGGCAAAATCAGAATAGGGAGCCTATTGTGTTCTCTCTTGGATTCACAATCTTGGGGAGAATTTTTGGAGACTAGCCTGTCCTTTGGAATGCTAATGTCACAGAAGTGTATCTTTTGGTAGTTCATAATAAGAGAACCTTTTAACAGTTTGTTTCTCATGGTTTCATTCTACTTAGAAGAAAGCACCATAAGTCTGAGTGTTCAGTCAAAATCAGAATGCAGTGAGGACCAGAAAAGAAGATGAAGGCTTTCGTATCATAAATCAAATCAAGATCCTTCCATTACTTCATTTCTTTCATCTCTTTGCTTCCCATTTCCATTTTCCCTGTAGACCTGCGACTTTTCTGCTTCAGCCTTCAGTTTCTTGTCAGGCCAGTGATAGATAACGATAGGATGTGGTCTCTCTATATAACACATATGACTTGTTTTAGATCAGAGTTGACTGCAATAATGAAAGGCGTATCCACACTAAAACATTACAGAATACCTCCAACGAAGGGAACCGGCTGCGTGCGGCCAAAGAGCGTACCCAGAAGAAAGACAAACCGGACGGCGTGGATGGGCAGCAACCTCTCGTGAACGGAGTACCCTAACCTGCATCATTCTGAAGTGATGTTTCCTATACCATGTCCGTAATTCTTCTTCCATGTTAGAAAACTTTGTTAGGCCAAAGACAAATAGTAGGCAAGATGGCGCAGGGCATGAAATGAACACAGATTCTGTTAAGACATTTTTGTTGTTTTGTTAACTGGCCATAGGCACCAATTTTTCAGACTTGTACACGAAAACCTTTTGAACTCGGAAACAATTGTTTTAAGTACACTTAGCACTCCAGGACAGAGTTTTCGTTTGATTTTTCCTTCTTACATAAATGATCCATGATATTTCTTATTAATTTGGGCCATTTCCTTACAGTGAGTGGTACTCACCAGTACATTTCAGTTGTTCTGACTAAATAGCATTTATGGTAATCGGCTTGGACTTCTGTTTTCAATATCCTAGAGAATTTGCCATGGAATGCTATGACATTTCATGTCCTGTGTCCATTTATGTTCTGGTCCACTTTTCCAGTATTTTAGTGGACCCTGAAACATGTGTGATGTGACATTTGTCATTTTCATTAGCAAAAAAAGTTGTATGATCTTGTGCCTTTTTTATATCTTGGCAGGTAGGACTATTATATTTGGATGCAGAGTTCAGGGAAGATAAGTTGGAAACACTCAATATTAAAGATGTAGCAAACCCTGTCAAACATTAGTACTTTCTAGAAGAATGCATGCTTGCCCCGATTATTTTCCTTACATACACATCAGGTTAGGCAGTATACAGACTAGAACTTGTTTTTTGTTTTTGTTTTGTTGCACTGAAGCTTGACAAATAGTGTTACCGACAGGCTGTGTCGTTTCTCTGTCCAGACAGGGGAAGAAATGGCGGTCTTGTCATTGCAGAGAGGCAGCACTGACAGCAGCCAGGGCAGCCTTTGGGAGGATGTGCCTGCTCTTTGGCCTGATGACCAGTTTTAATGTAGAACCTTTCATTTTCTCCCTGTGTTTGGGGGAATTCTCCATATTTTACTTTCATGCTTAATTTTGGGGAGGTAGGAAGGTCATTTCAATGTGTGTATAATACAGTCCTGTGAAGTACAGGTACTTTAAGAATGAATGGAAGCAGGTTAAAAAAGTAGTTTGTAAAGTTTGAAATATAAGGTTTAGTTAACCAGCAGAATTGGAGAGCAGTCTCAGATCAATTAATACTGTTTCCCCCCCCCCTTTGTTATTTCGGGGGTCCGTTTATTATTTTTTGTTGTTATTTTAGGGGTCCTTTTTGATGTATTGGGTTTCCATTTGGGTTTTGAATTTTATTAAATGAATTGATTTACTGAAGAAAAGTATGTGAAGGACTTTCACTAAGATGTTATATTTTTCTTAAAAAAAAACAAAAAACTCCCAAGTTGGGGTACCACTGAAATCTGTACAGAGCCGTACAAACTTAAGTTCTGCCTCTGATGTATTTTGTGTTTGTTTCTTTGAACTTTCATTTTACAGTTACTTTTCCTTGCATACAAATAAGCATATAAAATGGCAACAAACTGCACATGATTTATCAAATATTAAAGTCTTTTAAAAAGTATTGCCAAACATTAATGTTGAGTTCTAGTTATTTATTTGGGGAATGTATAGATTTTGACAACAGAAATTGGTACCTTGCACACATCATCTGTAAGCTGTTCGGTTTAAAATACTGTAGATAATTAACCAAGGTAGAATGACCTTGTAATGTAACTGCTCTTGGGCAATATTCTCTGTACATATTAGCTACAACAGATTGGATTTTATGTTGACATTTGTTTGGTTATAGTGCAATATATTTTGTATGCAAGCAGTTTCAATAAAGTTTGATCTTCCTCTGCTAAATTGATGTTGATGCAATCCTTACAAATGATTGCTTTTAAAATTTTAAGATAGGAAAGAAATCTATAGAAAGTGTTATGTTACAAAACTTAACTGTTACCACTGGAAATGTCACCATGTCATAGGAAGTTAGCCGTTCTCGAACAGTTTTCAAGAACTTGATATTGTTTAAGAAAGCGGGGTGGGGGGAATCAACAAAATGGTACAGAACACGTTTGTACCATTATAATATGCACTAAGTCTATTTTTTACAAAGGCTGAATTCAGCAAGGCGCTAACTTGCTTAAATGTGAATTACTAACTTCTAAAACTGTAATTTGATTCACGTTTTCAAATGGAGTTGGAGTTGATTCATATTACAATATTTGTGTGCTAAACGTGTATGTTTTTCAGTTCAGAGTCATGTTTTTAAAATCTTATTAAAGTTTCAAAAATCTGAAGATTGTTTATCTAGATGTAAATTTTTATTAAAAAGTTACACTTATGGAAAAGAAAAACATTAGTCTGGCAGATAATTGCTCCTGCTTTGAAATCTTTTAAGTATGACCCCAAATGAAAGTCTTGCTGGGGTGGGGGTGGGGGTTATTTATCCTGCAAAGCATGTATGCCTTTTTACATGCCTTTTAAAGGCTCCAAGCAAAGATAATTGGATATAATCCCCTATATTCCCAGTTACCAGCTTTCAGCACATTAATTACATAGGCTGTCACTAAACCATATTAAACACTGCACACACATTCTACCATCTGGGGAGAAAACGTGTGCAGTGTGAAAATATCCTTGTCACATCTCCGTAATAAATGCCAGGTTTGGAGTTGGATTGTGCCTCTGAGAGTAGACTGCTACTTCGGCTGGTCCAGTTTTTCCTTCTGGTACTTGTTTGGTTCTCTGATCACTTGTCCTGCTAGCTCTGCACTCTTCTGAATCTCCAAAGGTTTTAACATCACCATAAGCTGGGCCCAGCCCATTGGTAGGGCGCCAATAGAAGCTACTCCAGTAAGATGGTTGGATTGCTCTGGATTCCCGGTGTTACTTAGGAACAGCCTATAATTACAATGAACAGGAAATGTCCCTGGTCTGATGTTGGCCTTGGAGCACCTGGGGGTTTGCATGCAGTGTCTGAGTCAAGATAATGATTTGGATCTCTCCCAAGCCTGGTTCTGTGTCCTGGCCAGCAGCATCTTTCCCATTTGAACTGCTGAAGCTTCCTTCTGGTGACCACTTACTCTGACCTAACCATTACTTGCATGTGTTTGTCTTGATAGCTCAGACGACCTAAGGGAGACAGGATTTCAATCGTCAGCGCCTCCTCCGGGTGTTTATTGGAGACCATTAAAAAATATTTCCTCACAGAACTGTCTGCATCAAGAAAGAAGGCCCCCCCCCCCAGGCGTTTTATGTTGGAGAGGTATTAAGTCTTTGAAAATGACAGTAGCTAAATGATTAAAGACTTGCTAAAAGATGAAAAGTAGAGTGCTTGAAGATGGGACCACTGATTGCTTAGCATACATTTGATTACATGGGTAGGTTGCAAATTGGTAGGAAGCAAATTAGTGTCAAGAGTAGGGTGTAACAGAATCCTGGGAAATAGAGGACATTGTCATTCCGTATATTCAGTGGGGATGGCTTGTGCTAAGGGAGCGAGGTGTGAAAGAAATAATATTCGTGAAGTCCAAAAGCCTTTTGGTTAATCGGAGCTCATCTTTGTCCGATTTCCCTGGAGAGAGAGGCCCCCAAGACATGGCATCACAAAACCACACTCCTGCACAAGGAATGTCCAAGGAGCCTTCAAAACACCCAAGCAAAGATTTCATTCCTTTACAATTCTCCTCGTTGGTGAACTTTGTGAAGCTACTCCCTCATAGAGCACAGGTGTGTCCCACAGCAGAATGAGCACTGAACTGGTAATCAGGGTAGCTCTGACACTGGGTAAAGCATTTTGCTTCCGCATTTTGGCTCCTGCAGGGGTTAACTGTTTGCTAAGGAATGCTAAAGTTTTTCTGCTCCCACCCCCACTCCACTCCCCCGCCCCCCGCGAAAGCTACAGAGAAAATGGAACTTTCATCCATTTACTGAACGCACTGTAGAGCAGGCACTCCACATGTTTCTTGGAGGTGTGTGTGGGGTGGGGGCGGGGTTTACAGGGAGAATATTCTAGAATTTCAAGAGGCTCAAGGTCCAATGGATGGGCTCAGTGGGTAGTTCCAGTGTATGGCACAGTTGTGTGCTGAGAGGCCGACTGAGGCGGGGACCATACGGCATGACCCACGTGTGGCATGCAGTCAGTAAAGAAGATCAATTAAACACCCAAACCTGTTACCAGTGAGTTGATTCTATCCACAGGGTTTCGCGAGACTGTGATCTTCATTGCCACTGCTTGTTCCTGAGGGTATGAACTGCTCATCTTGTCAGCATCCAAGCCCTTTAACCCCTGTGCCACCAGGCCACCTGGAAAGATTTCTCAGCCAAAGTGTACTTCCAGACCTGGAGGACAGATGTTAGGAATTAGCCCAAAGGAGGAAGGCTGGGTGCACTGATCTACGGATGAAAACCACTGTGTACTCGGGGATCTGTTCTAGGTTTGGGTGACTAGTACTAGTGGGAGTTGAGTGGAAGGTGTGCTCAAAGGGGACTAAGGTTCCATGTTGCAGTGGGGCTATAGGGAACCAGTGAGTGGTTTTAGTCTGATTTACACAGATGTGTAGAGCCCCTTGACTTGCCAACTGACCAGCTAGTGGGCATGGAAGCCTGCCCAGGAAACTGCAGACTCAAGGTCACAGGTGACTGCAGCTAGCCACCTCAGGCTACTCCCTTAACAGCTGGTAGCTTGGCTTAGCCTGCTTGGCTTGGTCACCTTAGGAGGCTCCCAGGGAAGCTGCTCCCTAGGGCCCAGGCACTACCTCACTGATTCATTTCCCCAGTTCTGAGGCACAGACTGCATGCCAGTCAGGAGACTTGATTTCACCCACATTGTCATACATGGAATCCCATGTGAAGCAAAAAAACATGCATTCCACTCTGGCACTTGGGGAAATTTAAAAAGGGCTTAGCCAAACCTTACCAGGGATAGGCAATCCCCTAGGATGTCAAAGGAAGGTCACCATATGAGGCTAAATGGGACAGACCAGGATGGAATCATTTAACCCTGGTTAGTGCAAAGTAAGAAGATGGGAGAAAGGAGCTTTTAGTATAGAAGGGCCTTAAGCACACCGACTACAACCTAACCTAGATTTGAAACCTGTCAGTATCCACAGGCCTCTGGGGGAAGCGGGGACAGTCTGAAGGACTTAACCCACTGATGGAATTGTATGCCTGGTGTTCATCACAGAATCATCAGAAGCTTGAACTGCTCCAGAATGAGAAAGGCCCTTCCCAGAAGCAGACAAAGCTAAATGCCCAGCATTTAGTTCCAGTGATTCCTGATGTGCAGCCACCAAGAGGCAAAGGCAATTCCCACGAGACCTTGAATGAAAAATGGAACAGTTGTATGGAGAGTTGCTGTGACGCACCATGGTTTTTTGGGGGTGGTGTGCAGTATGTGTTGAGCTGCTAACTGCAAGGTCAGCAGTTGTTAACCACTATCCACTGTGCCAGAGAGAAAAATGAGCCTTTCCACTCCTGTAAAGAGTTGCCTCGGGGGTGGGGGTGTCCCATGAAAAAATTGAAAGCAGTGGGTAACTGCCCCCCCTGAGTTCCAGACTTTCCCCTGACGAACAAACTTCTGCTACTTATATCTTGGTGCCTCAGAGAAAAGAACTGACACAACGATTTCTACAAAAAGCTGTGGGTTCTGTGCTTCCTGGCAGGATGAGTGGTGAGCTGTTGTCTTCTTTTCATCTACCACAAATAAACATAATTGGGGAGGGGTTGAATCTGACCTTGGTTGGAAAGATTCACAGGTTTCTGAATCCTGAGGCTGATGGTCCAGACTTGACTGTTGCGTGCCAGATGGATGAAGGAGATTTAGGTCTGCTGTGGACTGCTTCCCAATGCCTGGCTGGAACTCTTGGGACTGAACTCCCCTGCAGCCCTGAGAGGGCAGACCAAAATTGGGGAGCGGGGAAAAATTGGGTGGCCATGTATTAGGGGAGAGAATCAGCATGGTAGAAATTGAGTGTTTCTCCTAGGGCTCAAGATGTAAAGTGCTAACACCTGCCTACTCGCAGACCCATACCCAAAAAGAAACAGGACCCAACATTGACATTTAAAAAAAAAAATCGTGCCAGCGGGTGTTGTTTTAAAGAGTATGTTCTCTCCTTGGTTGTGTTGGTCTTAGCAATCATTGCCTTGGCAACTTAGGAGCCATCCTCAAAACCAGGACTTTGATAGAGACAATATTTGTTTTCTGCTTTTGGCTCCTCCTGAGTGTAGGCTGGTGATGAACAGTTTGGCCTCCCTTGCCTGTCCGGGTTCCACAATAAGTGCATGGGAAATGCTTTGTACCAGAGACAAAAAAGAAACAGAACAATAACACTGTGTCTTGAAAACAAATTTCTGTGCATTTTGGGAAATGGGAGGAAACAACTCAAGTGGAATGCATGCAGATGTGGACATGCAGGAACTCCTTGAGGAGGAGAGAGCCTTGGACCCTCGACCTCCAACTCCTTTAAGAAATTGGAGAGAAAATTTGATACAAGTAGAGGAAAACACTGAGGAGGCTATACTGGAGGCTCAGCAACTCTCTGAACGCCATTCTGACACAAAAAGCTAGAAATAATTCAACAACCTTAAATATAAACTCAAAAGGCAAATGCTAAAGTATAAGAACTGCATAACACTTTGAAAGAACAAAACAGAAGTATTGAAGCGATGGAACTGAGAATGAGTGATCCCAAAGATAGATCTCTTGAGAACAAAATACAATAAGATCACGCTATAAAAATGACTAATAAAGCTGAAGAAAACCTACGAATTCTATGGAACACTATCAAAAGGAACAACATACATGTGATAAATATCACAGAACCAAAAGAAGACACATTAACAACAGAAAGTCATTGATGAAGTAGTAAAGGAGAATGTCCCTGATTTTATGGCAGAACATAAAATAATTATTCAAGATACATAGAGAACTCCAAACAGATTTCATCCCCAAAGAACATCATCACAGCATTTATAGTCAAACTTTCTAACATGGAAAAAGGAAACTACTGAGAATAGCACCAGAAAAAAGAATAATCATATATAAAGACCAAACAATTAGGAAAAGGTCAGATTTCTTTATAAAAATCATGCAGGCAGGAAGGCAATGGATTGATAGATTAAAAAATTTGAAAGAAAAAAAACCCCTGTCAACCAAGGCTCCTATATCCAGCAAAGTTATCCCTCAAACATGAAGAAGAAATAAAATCATTTTTCAGATAAGGGAAAATTAAGAGAATTTGTGAAAATAAGGCTGCCTTTACCAAAAATACTTAAGAGTTCTTTGGACAGAGAACAA